ATCTATGCCACGAAGAATTGAGGCAGTTCTGAAGGCAAAAGGGGGTCCAACCCGTTACTAGCGTGGTGTACCTAATAAAGTGGCCGGTGAGTGTATGTAATCCATTAAAACTTGTGCTTTATGTGACCTTTTTCACGTTTTTGTGTAACGTATTGATCTAAACTATTGTGTCAATGCTTGTAGTCCCCAGGCCACTGTTATATTGTCTTTTTTTAACATGTTTTTACATTATGTTTCTAATAAATAAATAAATAAATAAAACTGGAGAGTGGAGCGGCACGGTGGAGCAGTGGTTAGAGCTGTCTCCTCACAGTGAGAAGGTCGCAGGATCACCTGACCTGGAGCTTCAAAGAAAGGCTCCAGAAAAGATTTGAACCAGCCACCTCACAGCAACAATAACACAACAAACATTATTACGCTTGTTTTAAACTGTTTAAGCTTTAATTCTGGTCAGATCACATTCACAGRTAAGTAAATAAAGGTAAATAAGATCAAATCTGCTTATGAAATAAGACATGTTTTCAAGTTCTGCTTGTACTCTAGTTCTCTGATAGTTTTACGTTTTTATCCTAAAGTTTATATACATTTTGAWATTATTTTATTATGTCACATACTTATTATTTCACATATTAGCATGGTGATGGCATGGTGGCTCAGTTGGTAGAGCTGATGCCTCTCAGCAAGAAGGTTGCCGGTTGAACTCCCGGCCCGGGGACCCTTCTGGGTAGAGTTTGCAATGTTCTCTCCGTGCAAGCGTGGGTTCTCAGACAAAAACATGACTGTTAGGTTAATTGATAACTCTAAATTGTGAGTGAGAGAGTGAATTGTTGTTTGTCTCTATGTGTGGTCCTGTGATGGAYTTGYGACCTGTCCAGGGTGTACCCCGACCCTCACACTGTGACTGCTGGATATGGACACCAGTGACCCACGCGACCCTGAAAGGAAGAAGCGTGTACAGAAAATGGATGGATGGATTTTAGCATGGTCAACCCTCAGAGCTATTAAGCCAATCAACACAGACATTTGCCCTCACACTCAACCCCACTGACAGGTTTTCAAGCTTGTAAACTTGTGGTGTGTTCAATGTGCTCTGTAAATATCAGTGTCACAGAAAGTTTCAGTCTCAGTTTATTTATTTATATAGCGCCAAGTCACAAGTTAAGCTTAACTTTTTTTTTATTAAAGAACACACAAAATGGTACAATGTACAAAGAAAAACAAACTTGCATAYAAGAGAGAAAGATGGGTGCAAATAAAGACGAGAAATGAAATAAAATAAATATCTAAAAATAAGGAACAGAATAAAGTCTGGTTSTAAAACCACCTCAGACCGAAGTTGGTGGTGTGACAACAACAACATAAAACCACGGGTTTCCACCACCGAAGAAGAAATCCACGYGGTCACGTGACCTACGCAGCTAGCAAGCTAGCTTAATTTGTCCGTGTCATATCTGCGATCTTCGCTTCTGTGAGCAGAAACATGGAGTGTTTTCAGTTAAGCTGTCCTCTGTTCTCCTCTGAGCTGGAGACTGAACCTTTGGGAGAACCATCGACCCGGACAAACCGAACCGGACCTCCAGAGAACAGGACAGGTGACGTGAAGATTAAAAACACTGTCTCCCATTCAGCCCTACGAAGCGCATTTCATTCAAAACTAAATGTAATATTTATATTTCACACTGAGACAGCTTTAAAGAAACTGAGCAGTTCATGGAGGATAAAATAACAATAAACAGTATTTTCCAGCAGCTGAACAGTTTTATTATAAACGGAGTTTACTCGGTTTAGCTCTGCCCCATTTAAGCCCCGCCCATTAGAGTTTTGATGACGTCACAGTGACATCACAGTTCTGCCCAATTTAAGCCCCGCCCATTAGAGTTTTGATGACGTCACTGTGACATCACAGCTCTGCCCAATTTAACCCCGCCCATTTTAGAATTTTCAAAACGACACACTGTGACATCACAGGTCATTTCCTGTCTAATTCTGTTCAATTTGCATAAACTAACACTGTGACATCACAGGTCATTTCCTGTCTAATTCTGTTTAATTTGCATAAATTTGATCTGCTAGGAGATAAAGACTTCATTTCAAGCTGAGAGCAGGACCCGAGCAGATAAAAATGGCAATGAAGAAGGCATATGAAATAGGCGCAGGAGATTGGAAATCAGAAAAAAAACCTRGACGGGGTAGAAGGAATGCAGTTTGTTTTAGAAGATCTTTTAGAGAAATGGAGCATCAGCTACGATTTAAAGACGTTCTTGAATGTGTAGCTTTAGCAGTTATTACCATAGTTTTCACTTCCATTTATAGTTGGGTGTATAAATCTGTGGTGAACTGTGTTTGAACTGAACTGGAGCTAAACAACAAAAGAAATCTGAGGCTCCTATGACAGGGGTGCTCAACCAGTCGATGGCGATCGACCGTTAGCTCGTCGGCTGGTTCCTGGTARCTCACRGAGCACAACCTTTCTCTGACAGCTGAGAGCCGGCTCGTCAGCTCCGCTCACAGATGTAGTCTCTTGAGTTTTGGGTGCAGTGAAACAGCACTCCGTACACGGTCTCATGAGACTTTAGGGTTATGTGTTCAGAACAAAGCAGCCTGAGAGAGAGAGAGAGACTCTCTCTCTCTCTCTCTCTCTCTCTCTCTCTCTCTCTCTCTCTCTCTCTCTCTCTCTC